CACTGGCGACCAAGGGCAGGGATCTCTGTCATTTCCTGCATGGCACATGCCCGACTTCCTCTTGGCTCTGCCCAGGCCCACTATCTCTCACCAGGTCTTCTTCCTCCGGAGCAGTGGTTCAAATCATGGACACTCGTGGGAAGCTTATCCAGGTGCCAGCCAAGCAGGTGAGAGCAGATTATCTGGGCTGGGGGGTGAGTGCCTGTGCCTGTCTTGCCCAGGCCAGGTTTTTGCAGTTATTTACATCAAAGCCTACCTTGAGGGCTAAAAGTTTCTCTGCTCCTGTGGTCATGCTTTCTCTTGCCTTCTAGACCATTTCTGGCCTCAGGGGAGTCTGGGGCTTGAGAGAGGGCCCCGCCTCCCAGCAACTCGTGGGTCCCCTCACTGTCACCTTTGCCATCTTATGAGATCCTTGTAGCAACCCCATTTTATAGGGGCGGAAACTGAGCCAGGAGAAGTGCAACACTCAGGGAATAGAGCTCCCTCCGGCCACACTGGACTGCAGGTCCAGGCTGTTAGAAATTAGGAGCTGCCTCACACTCCATCACCAAGTTATTTTTCAAGGAGCATCAAATTCAAGGATCTGTTCTCTTCACCCTGTTTTTCTGACATGGACTCTGTCTCCTCTGTCCCATATACCCCGTTACCTCCAGGAACTGGGCATCTGAGGGCTAAGAGGGGGTATCTAGAGCAGGGCAGGATCAGAGCAGAGAGGGGCCTCTGGGTCCTGGCTCACACCCCCTCCTGGCTGGGTCTGCCTCTGCAAGTCTATAAATTCCATTATTCATCAAGTGACTGTGAGTTTGCCCAGACGATGAATATTTTATTCACCTCCAGACACTGTCCCCAGCGGGTTCTTGGAACTATATAGTTCCCTAGCCAAGGAGCCAAGGCCAGAGCCTCTGCAGCCCCTCCCCACCACCCAGCACCTCCTGTCTCCCCCAACAGGCATCTCGCTCAGGCACGGTAATGGTTCGTGGTCCTGGCATGACCTTGAGCTTGGCACTTGTCCTCCCTCCACTTTGATTTACTCTTCTGAACAGTGGGTTCATTTATTGCCTTGTCAGTCACCCCAGGGTCTCTCCACACCCGTAGGGCCCAGGGCTCTGCCGGGAGCTCTCCCTGGTGCTGAATGTAGGTGGCAAGAGCTTGCTGGCCTGGGAGGAGAGGTTTCTGGCAAGGGAGCGTGGGCAGCAGGCTGGTTTTGAGAGGGAGGGTTCCAGTTTCCTGGAGGGGAGGTCCAGTCACTGGACAGGGAGGTCCCCTCTTGGCTCCCCTTGTCTCCCTGACACTAGGTGAATTTTCCCAGAGTCACAGGTGGGGGACCTCTCCCAGGGACTCCAATACGCTGAGCCAAGGACTAACGGGTGAGGTTCACGGAGAACCCTCTCAGGAGGGATCCACGAGTCTCCTGGTGGCACCCTGGAGAGTGAAGTGTGATGGCAGCACCACCTTCCCCAGATGGGGGAGCGACAGACATAATTCACACCTTGCAATCATGCCATCTGCTCCCCTGTGATGTGCAGAGGAGAGGACAGGGTTGCAGTGCTTAAGGCTGGGTGAGGAATCATTCATTCTCTCATTCATTCATTCATTCATTCATTCAGCAGATGTTCTGGGACAGAGGCTGCACCTGGGGGATGCAAACCTAGGCCCTGCCTTCCTGAGTCGAGGATGGTCCTCTCACACCCTGCCTCCCCCTGGGGCTCCCTTGGCTGGTAGAAAGAGGCACAATGTTCTGTGCACTGAGTTCTTTGCTCTGGGGCCATTGAGCAGATGAGTAGGTGGGTCCTTCCTGAGAGGGCTGAGACTCAGAGAGGTAAGCACAGACACCCAAGATCACACGGCCAGCTTTGGGTTCTTCCTGCTTGTAGCATTGTCTCTCCCACCCAATTTTCAAGCCCTGTCTCCCTGTCTTTCCTCTGTAAAAATTGTTCTTGCCTCCCCCACTGGCCTTCAGCAGACAGAAGGTGCTGTGACCCAGACCATGCTGCCCAGCCCTCTGACCCTTGCTCTGTGAGCCTCAGGCATGAGCAGTTCCCCCTCATTCTCTGACTCCCAGCTGGAGGATGGGTTACCCAGGGGGTGCTCAGAGAGCTGATGTGCACAGTGGTGGCAGGCCAAGGAGGTCAACAGGGGTTCCCAGAGAAGGCAGCATTCCTGTAAGCCTGGAGGGGCAGGGAGAGATCAGCATGGCCTTGGGTTAAATGCCAGCCCTGCCTCATACGGCTGTATGGTCCACCCTAACCCTTCTGTGAACAGGGGTGTCCTCACCCATGAATGGGGACAAGGTCAAACTCCCTTCAGAGGTTTGGGGGACTGGACCCAGCCAGTCACATGCACAGCCCCAGGCAGCCCAGATATCCACATGGTCGATAGACCAGAGGTACATGTGCAGATGTTGGCAAGCGGAAGTCCCCTGGGCCCACAGTCAGCTCTGGGCCCTGAGGTGTTAGGGGTGGCTTAAACAGGGGGGTGTACCATGACCTTGGGGCTACAATTCCTGGTGGGCCCTGTACCCTCAGCACAGACCCACAGGGCCTGGCTATTCCCAGTAGGTCCACCCATTTGAATTTTGCTTGATTTATCTCAGAAAATGTTTCTACTTATCCTTTGAAAATTCTCTGCCTGGGCAAAAAGGCTGGGAGCCACAGGGGATGCAGCAGGAGCTGCCCCTTCTTCAGACAAGAACCAACCTGCTCTGTGGCAGCCTCCTGGGAAGCTCGGGGTCCCACCATCCCCTCGCTAGGCTCCAGCTCACCCTCCCCTCGTCCTCAGCAAGGGGGTCCTGATCTAGCACCAGCTGGCCTGGGATGGCACAAGTTGGCCACTCAGTAAGGGCCAGTGGAGTGAGCTGCTGCGGCTCACACTGTCAATCAATACATAGCAGCTATAATTATTATTAATTCATATTCCTCGGGGGGATCTTCATGCTAATAAAAAACTCCCAAGAGACACAAGGAGGCACAGCTAGGCCTCTCCCATGCTACATCACTTCATCCTTACCACTGCCTGCAAGGTGGCACTGCCACCCTCACAGCATGGGGGGAAATCGAGACCCCAGGACTAAGGTCACACAGTTAGGAGGTGTGGACACAGGAGCTCAGGCCTGCCTGGCTCCAAGTGCTGAGGTCCTCCCTCCCTATTCCTCTGCTCCACCAGGAGACCCGGGGAGCTCCATTCCAATGGTGGAATGTGAAGGAACAGGCAGAAGAGGAGGGCTTCAGAGTTGGGGTTTTTGGGGGGCCTCTCACACCCCAAGTCCTGATGAGCACTGGTTGGCCCGTAGAGGCTGAGACAAACAGCTGGGGCCGTTCCTGGCTCCTCTGCGGGTCATGAATGCTGCTGGGAGCCCTCTCCAGAGCCATATCTGAGAAGGGTTGGGACTGAGTTCTGGTCTAGCCCAGCTTGGCCAGGGCTGGAATCTCCCTGAGCGCCCTCTCCCCAGGCCTCAAGACAGGGCTGTGATTAATCAGCAACAAAAGCAGAAACAAGCAGAAAAATGTAATCAGCTTGAGAAGGGCAGGGCCGGGTAGGGCTGTGGCAATCAGCTTCCCTGCTGGGGCCATAGGCTGATTGGACCAAAGGGGGCAGGGAGGTGTTTCCACTGGGGCCCCTGGAGGCAGGGCCCAGAGCCCCAGCCATGCTAAAGCCAGAGGGTCAACCCCGCCTTCATAAATATGCACACACATCTGTACACTCCTGCCCATGCCATCCCAGTCCAACACACATACATACGCGTGCCTGCAGGCTTCTGCCCACCAGCTCCTGCCACCCCTCCCTTGCCAGTTCACAACCTTGGCACACATAGGTGTCCACGCAGACACCTGACACTTATCCATCAGCACGTGGACTTGGAAACACATGCACACACCCTCACGGACAGCATATGCATACACGCTGCTCCCACACACCTGCCACCCCACCCGGACACAGAGTTTCCAGGCCTGGGGGAACCCCGCACACACTTTAGGCTAACTCGCAGCCATGTGAACGGACACCCTCACACCAATCCTTGAAGGCACTCAACCATTTTTTTTTGGCCCCCATTGACTGTGGGGGCCATGAGACGGACCCTGGCACCCCTTTACAGGCTGAGTGGTGGTGGAGGCTAGGGAACCACCCACCCGGGGCCTGTGCTGCGCTGGGTGGGGGGACAAGGTCAGCTTCAAGAACTCAGCTGTAGGCGGTGGCGCCTGCCCAGACCCTGTCCCCGGCTCTGACCTGCCCCCTCTGCCCCGTGACCTTGGTCAACGCCCTTTGGCTCAGCCTCAATTTCCCCACCTTGGAGCCTCTTCTGGCACCCAAACTGTGATTCTCTTCCAGGACCCAGGTCCCTGGCGCCGACCCCACCGTGCGGCCAGGTCTCTTGGGCCTCAGTCCCCCTCTCTGCTCGTGGGGTCTGGCGCACCGGGGGGCCGGGAGAAAGGGCCCCGCTCCCCACCCAGCCCCCCCCCTCCCCCTAGTCTTGGTGGCAGCGGACTTGGGGGCAGGGGGCGAGGAATCCTCAGCCCGGGGGAAGGGGAGCCCGCAACCAGGGGAGAGGGAGCCCGGCAGACTTGGGGCGGCCGCGCAGGGGCCGGCGGCGGGCAGGGGCGGGCGGGGGTGGGGCGGCGGGAGTCGGAGGGGGCGGGCGGGCGGGGGAGGCGGGGAGCGCAGCCGGCGCGGCACCGAGCGCGCGAGCCGGCAGGGGAGGCGGCTGGAGCCGGAGCGGCGGGCCGGGCGGCCGCGCCGGCGAGCGGACCAGCAGGCGGCGAGCAGCGCGGAGCGCGCGGGGCACGGAGGACCCGGCGCGGCGGGCGCGGAGCGCGGCTGAGCTGCGAGACCCGAGGGGGCCGCTCCCGCCGCCCTGCGGGGCCCGGGCCGGGAGCCCGACGAGGGAGGGGGCGGCATGGACCGGCGGCCCCGGGCGCCGGGGCGCTAGGCCCCCGGAGGGGCGCCCCCAGCCTCGCCGCCCTCCGCCGCCGCGCGCCCCGCCCGCTCCAGCCGCCCCCGGGGCCGCCGGCGGCCCATGAGCCCCGACCTCAAAGTTTGCGGCGGGCGGGCGGGCGCGGAGCCTCCAAGATGCCGTTCCACCCGGTGACGGCGGCGTTGATGTACCGGGGCATCTACACCGTGCCCAACCTGCTGTCGGAGCAGCGCCCCGTGGACATCCCCGAGGACGAGCTGGAGGGTGAGTGCCCGGCCGGGACCCCCGCCGCCGGCCCTCCTACCTGTGCGCCAGGTGAAGCGCGGGCCGGGGGCGCGCAGGGCGGGGGGCTGTCCGCAGGTGCCGCCCGGCAGGGGGGCGATCCCGCGAGCGGCTGCGCGGGGAGGCGGGACCGGCTCGCACCCCGGGCGCCACGCTGGGGGTCCCCGAGGCGAAGGGGCGGCCCAGCCCCTGCCGCGTGGTCCCCGGCGCTGCGGAAACTTGCCGGCCCCGCAGCGGGGTCACGGGGCCGCGCAGCCCGCGGTGGCGGTGCGGCAGCGCGGCCGCTCGGGGCGGGGGTCCGAGGGGCGCCCCCGCGCCCGCCCGCCCGCCCGGAGCACCCGCATCCTGATGCCCTCCGCGGGGCCGCCCGCGGCTCTGCGCTCGCATCGGCATTCCGCTCGCGTGGCCTTTAAAACCCGATCTGCTCGGGCAGTCGGAGCCGGGGAGAGGGCGGCCGCCCCGCTTGCACCCCGGCGGGCCGCCCCCAGCCTCCCCGCGACCGCGGCCGGTCCCAGCCCCGCGGAGACCCCCGCCCGGAGCGCCGGGGAGGCAGCCCGGGAGGTGGCGGCGACAACAAGTGGCCGGATGAAGCGGTTTGGTCGCGATAACCAAGCCTGGCAGGGAAAAGCAGAGAGACCAGGACCCAAACCTGTCCCCCACAGTCCCTCCACCGCTCGACATGAACGGGGACCTGAGCCAGCCAGCTGGGCAAGATCAGAGCAGAGGGCAGGGGCTGGGGCTCCTGGATGGAGGATTCGGGGTTTCAGAGACCCCCGGGGGGTCGTGGGGGGTGCCTGAGACCTTCCTCTACTGGGATGGGGACAAGTGCTCAGGCTTCCCCTCCCCCGCCTCCTGGGGGGCAGTGTGAAGTCTGGTGGGGGGCTCTGTGCTGATGGACTTCTTGGTCCCCTGGGGGAGGGGCTGTGATCGCCCAAAGACTGGGCCTCTCTTTGGATACTTGGGTTCAGGAGTCTCTGGGATCTGCTGCTCATTAGGGCCTATGGGGGCGTGCAACGGAGATAGCAGCGCAGTTGGGGATGGTGGTAGGAGCGCAGGGGAAGCCATGGGAAGAGCCATCCCCAAGTCCTGGAGGGGGCAGGTGTGGGGGGAGTCAGATTGGGTCAGGGGGAAGATCAAGAGGGAGAAAGCAGGTCCACCCCCTACCCTCCATCCCCCACCCGCTGCACCGCAGGCTGTGAGCCACCTGCTCCTCTCGAAAACCTCAGAGGCTGGGAGAGTCCTAGAGATAGTGACTGGCATCTGATGCGGGCAGGACAGATGGATGGGTACTCTCCCTGTGTCTCTGGCCTTGAACCCCAAAGTCCAGATCCCTACCCAGAAACCACAGCCTCATTCAGGTTTGGGAAAAGGAGGGGGTACGATGAGGGTTGAGAGGGCAGGAGATGCGGCATAGGCCATCCTTCCCCACCTTTGTCTCTTTCTGCCCTGTGCACCCCAAACCTCTTATCAGTTTCCCCCTCCATAGGCTCTCGTCCATCCCTTCCTCTTGGCCGCTTGTGCAGGGGTCAGCATTGTCCCCTCACACCCCAGGCACTTTCTACCTCATCCCTCCTCTGGCTCCCAGCGCCCCCGCCATGAAGCTGGCAGCCCTGCTATACTCCTCACTGCGACCCTCTTCCCTTGCTCTCCCAGCCTGGAGTGCGGACCCTCAGGAAGAGGAGAAGGCTACGGTGCAGGGGTGAGCAAGACACAAGCAGTGCAGGGGCAAGGAGGCCGCAGGCTCCCCTTGGGCTGCCCAGTGCCCAGTGGACACTCTGGCAGGAGCCCAGCAGCGTTAGTCACCAGCCACACCAATTGCACTCCCTGCTTCTCTCCTGTCCCCTTCTCCTGGTCGCTGCGAGGCCCTGGCACAGGGGCATCTGAAGGGCAGGGCCCACCCGGGAGCAGGCAGCCCATCCCCGGACTCTTAGGCAGCTAGAGATAAGGGCAAGCAGTCCTCCGTGGTCAGCCCCCTACTTGGTTGACTGCCTGTGGGCAGCCCCAAAGCCCTTCTCTTCAGAGACCAAGTCCTTGAATGCCAGGGCTAGATGGAAAGGGTGACCAGCCCTGGCACAGATCCTCCTTCTGTCCCCTAGATCCATGCCCCGTCAGTTATCCTGCCCCAGAGCAATCTGGGTAAGGCCCAGGTCCTTTGCTGGGAGGATGCCCATCAACGGGGGAACCACATGTGCCGAGGAGAGGGAGTGGGGCGGCTGGGGATGAAATGCCGCAGGCAGTGCTGCGTGCCGCAGAAAGCCAGGGGGCGGTTCAGTGGAGGGGGGAGGATTAGGAAGGGAGGTGGAGAGCGGGTTAAGATAAGGGTTTTCTAGTTGGGCAGCGCTGGGTTCAAGTCTTTGCACCCTCGATTCATGTGACCTTGGGCAAAAACTTGCTTCTCTTGCCTTGGTTTCCCCAACTGTTAAAGAGGGTAGCATTGCGCCTCCCAGGGCTGCCAGAGATGGAGGATGCCATGGGAGTACGAAGCAGGGGCCCTGGCATGCAGCAGGGGCTGGGGAACCCTGATGCAGCAGAGGAGAGGCTAAAGAGGGGAGCCCTTGAAGGGTAAGAGCCCGGAGTGTGAAGGGATGGACGAAGGCCGGGGAGGCAGGAACATAGGGTGTGGAGGGGCTGACCAGAAAGGCAGGCTGGGGATAGGGCTAGATGGACAGGGTCTTGAAAGTCTGGCGGAGGCACTCGGAGGAACCTGTGGCCATCGGCAAGTAGAGGTGGCTGGGAAGAGCTTGCTTGGGGTCTACCTAGTCCCCATGTGGAGGCGAGGTGGGGATGTCCCAGACCGTCCCTGTGCTCCCTCCCTAGCATAGACACACGGTGGAGACCACCAGCACCTGCAGGAACACTGCGCTGCTCCCAGCGCCTCCATGGATCTGAGCACCTGAGGGTGAGGAAGGGGGTTGCTCCAACTCTAGCTCAGCCCTCTCTGTCCAGAGGAAGAAGCAGACAGACAGACAGACAGCCCCCAGGGCAGGGTTCTGGGCTTGGCATTTGGCCCACTCAGTCAGACAGTGAAGTCTGCGTGGAGAGTGGCCAAATGGGGGCATTTGGGGGGAGGCGTCCCCTTTACTGCCCTTCTCCCCTGCAAAGCTAGCCACTTCTATGCAGGCCAGTAACTCAGGGAGGCCAAAGTGGTGGGGCTCAGGGCCAATGCAGCGGAGACTGGATGCCTCTGCAGAGGACAGACGCTGCCCCCCGCCCCCCAGTGACCTCCAGCCTGTGCACTCCCACTCAGGACTCCGGCCCCCTCAGCGTGCTAGCATCCCTTGGGGTCTGTAGGGAACTCAGGCCTTAACACAGCTTCATGGATTAGGATGGGGATTGGGGGTACCTGGCCTGAGGCAGCAGGTGGGCAGACAGTGGCAGCCTGGAAACCTGGAGGCCATGCCAGCCCTTTTCCAGGCCAGGCATCCCCCTGCCAAGATGGAACACCGCAGGCTTCCCCCGGCTTCATGGGGTGGGAATGGAGTGAGGCTTTCGGGGAAATGAGCCCAACTGGGATATGCTGATGGCGGTAGCAGCAATGGGGAAGTCATCACCCCCACCCCTTGCAGAGAACCCCCAGCAGAAGTCAGGCCTCAGCATGGGGAAGAGTCACATCCCCATTTCACAGATGAGGCAATGGAGGCTCAGAAGGCTCCGGGTGCAGCTGCTGAACAGCACAGCCAGATTCTAGCCCAGGTCCCAGTGCAGGCAGCAGCCAACAAGAAGCCTGGTGTCCTGAAGCCAGAGCTTCCTCTTCTGATTCCACCATGCAGGACTCTCTGAGCTACAGCGTCCTGCTCTGAGACAAGCCTGGCCCAGCTGCACATTTCCGTGCTTGCTCTTCTTATTGTGTCATCCCAGCAGCCCCGTTGTGTAAATGAGCAAACACTGGCCCCAGGCTGCCAGCCAGGATGGGGGAGAGCTGGGATTCGAACCTGGGTCTGCGTGACTTAGAACTGCCTCTCTGGCCAAGAAGGTAGTCCCTGAACTTGACCTCAGGAGTCAGCTGGGGCTGGGCAGGGATATCAGCATCAGCAAAGTTGCAGATCAGGTTGAGGCTTGAGCTGGGTGCCCCATGGAAGGGTGGCTGAAGGGACCCATGAACATGGAGGGGACAGTCTTTGGGTTTACTTAGTGATTTGGGGAGGTTAGTCTTGCCTTAGAAATGGCTGTGGGGCCCATAGGCTGCCTCAGCATCTGTTGCCTACACACACCCCCCGAGATGCGCCTGCCCTCTACAGCCCAGATCAGTGTGTTTTCTCAGGGCTTCCAGAAGGGAGTCAGGGGCTCCGATTAAGCAGCACTGGTCTCTGCCACACCAGCTCCTTCCAGGGTGGGAGGGGAGATTACCCCACTGCAGGCAGGAGGCAGCCCCATCGCTTTGCCCCAGGGCTTTGCCGTTCCTCTCAGAGCTTCCAAATGGGCCTCCACAGAGGAGGCAAAAGAGCACCTAGAGGGATGGGTTGCAGGACCTTGGATCCCCTGGTGGGGGTGGGGCAAAGAGGTCTGGACAAAGAGACAAACAGCATCCTCAATCTCCCTTCATGCTTCTTGCCTGCTTGGGGAGTGGGAAGCAAATGCTTACCCTTCCTTACTAAAGCTGTTTATAAACTGAGAATAAGTGGGCTCTGAGTGGTCACCCCATACCAAGTCGTGCATAAATCTCTGCTCAGCTCCTCTCTCTGTGTGCTCCAGATGGGTGGGGTCCCCAAGTCATTCACTCATTCAATCACGCGTTCGGCACATGTTTACTGAATGACACACACTGCTCCAGGTAACAGGACATAGCCGTGAACGATGCCAAACCTGATCCCTGCGCTCCTGGTACTTCCAATGTGGCCAGTGCAAGGATGGGGAAGAGTGGGCTCTGTGGGAACCCACGGAGGGCCAGTGTCAGTTAGGGGGCAGAGAGGGCGCCAGGGAGATGCCATCCCTGAGGGAACTAGGGATTCATCAGTTGCCCATGGTGAGGCAAAAGCATTCATGGCAAAAGGAGCTGCATGTTCTAAGACCTAGAGGCAGAACAGGGAGGTTGAAATGGAGGGCTGGAGTCCAGGACACTTGAGGTGGGCAGAGCCTGTGACTGGGTCAGGGGGCAACAGCACCAGCCAGAAACCTAGTGCATATGTTGAGAGGGGGGCAGCACAGAAGGAGTGTCTGGTTGCAGGGCCAATGCCCTCGTCTCTACCCAGACCCTCCCAGGTGGCTGGGAGTCCCCTCACCAGCCTGCATGACTGCTGAGCCTCTGGTTACACACTTCGGGGATGGGGAGCTCACCCCGTCCTCGGTGGCCCAGAAAAACTCAAGTGGGAGCTGCCCTGTAGTTCCCAGTGTGTAGGCTTTACAGAACTCCCAGGCCTGGACAGATCTCCCATCGCAGCTGCTCCTCAAGTCGTGCGGGATGGGGGCCGGGGGGTAGGGTGGGAGATCCAGAGTCAGAGGGTCCAAGGGCCCAGGCACCTCAGGTGTGACCCACTGTCTCTCTTGGCCTGTGTGTGTCAAGCAGTCTAACCTGTGGGCTTGATACTAGATGGGAAGAGCCTGAAGAAGTTTGGCGCCCAAGCTACTTTCCGTGTGGCCTGCAACACGTGGCCGCCCACTCTGGGCTGCAGACTCTGGTCTATGGCAGGACTTGTGGGATCAGGGAGAAACCCTGAGGCACGTGATCTTTTACTCCATTTCAGGGGTTCACAGATCCCTGAGGTCAGGCTTGGGCCAGCCTCTTTCCTGCTCCCACCAGAAACAGCCCTGACCCTGCGCTGACCCCGGGTTAGCTTTGGCTTCCAGGTTGTCAACACGCATTATCTCGTCTGTCTCTCCTTCCAATGACGAGCACATGCACACATGCGCCTGCGCGTGCACACGAGCACCTCTGCCTGCTGACGTCCCGCCCAGGGGAACAGCTCAGATGATCAGGAGTCTGGCAGGTGAGCAGAACAGGAGACCCCAGGGAGCTAGACGGCGAGGGTGTGACTCGGCTGAGGCTCCCTCCCCAAAAAGGAAAATGCTCTTTAGGGAACTTCTTAGGCTGTGTAACAACAAAGGGGCAGCAGGCAGGGAAACAGAGGGAGAGCAAAGGTGAGCAGGGAGAGGTTAGGGTCTCTCAGTAGCTCCTGGAGTCCTTGGGAAAACCCTGTCTCCCCCGTCACGACCACCCATTTTACTGTGGGTCAGACTGAGGCTGGCTCAAGGTCATTCCCTGGGATCTTTGTTCCCAGCTTCCCGGCCCAGTGTGTTCCTCCCCACGGGTTGAGTTACCCAGGTCCTCAGCCTCAGTCTCCCCCTCCATAAGTAGGGGATGGGGCGCCCCCATCTGAGTTGGCTTGGGCTCTAGGAGGCGGCGTGTGCCCAGGTCCATTAGCTGGAGCAGCCACAGCTGCCCCATGGGGCGTCACTAAGGAGTGTTGGCGTGTTAACAAGCTGAGCCAGAAGGACAGTGAGCACGGTGGTGGCGACGAGGGGCTGTGGGGGATGGGAAGAGTGGGCCGTGGGCAGGGAAGCCTCCGCTGCTCACAGGCGACCAGCTGGCTGGCCTGGTGTGCCCCATGTCCTCCCCTGCACAGTGGGCCTCAGGGCACGGCCACACGGGGTCGTGCTGAGCACGCCTGGAGAGGCTGTGGGAGCTGGGCAAGCTGAGACTGAGCCCCCGAGGCTGTCTGATCACGGCCTTGCGTGTTGGCATACCTTTCCTGCCCCATGCGGCCTGTCCTGAGGTCCCAGAATGCAGCACACGGTGGACCCTTGGGTCACCCCCCTATTGTCTGACCAGACCCACGGGCTCTGGATTTGGAACCCAGGCTGAGGATTCCGGGATGCTGGAAGTCTGGGAGGGGAGGTCTGGGGTGACGTCCCACCTGCAATGCTCCCCCCACAGAGATCCGAGAGGCCTTCAAAGTCTTTGACCGGGACGGCAATGGCTTCATCTCCAAGCAGGAGCTGGGCACCGCCATGCGCTCCCTGGGTTACATGCCCAATGAGGTGGAGCTGGAGGTTATTATCCAGCGGCTGGACATGGATGGTGAGCACTGCCCCCAGCCTCAGCTGCCTTATCCTCCCCCTGGGGGCAGGGGGACCCGGCGCGTCCTGGACCTCTCATGCCCCCAACCCCCAGCTCCCCAAGCCCACGGCACCCTGCAGCCAGGTCTGGCCCCATTTCTCAGCCTGGAGAATCACCACCAGTGTGACCGCTCCGCACTCAGAGGTCAGACGGCTCCTCTCACCCTAAATTCTGATAACTAACAAGTACAGGAAAGCAGAGAGAAGGACAAACCAGCCACTCTAATTCTCAACACTCTGGGGGAAAAAAAGACAAAAGCATTTAGTTGCATCTGCTCTCTGGAATTCTAAGGAAAAACTCACAGGAAGGGTAGTGCCCTGGCCCTTCTTTGCCCCCACGCCTCCTCCGTTCTCTTCACCCAGAGAGCAGACTGTAGCCTGGCCAGGTTCACCCCCCCGGCCCTGAGTTTTGTTCCCTGTCTGTGTGCCTAGGAGACACTATGGCCCCACAATCTCCTGGGACAGCAGCACCGGGCTGGGGAGCCACGGAGGGTTCTCGGTAGAATGTGAAGGGCTCCCAACTCCTCAGGGCCCACCAGCTGCAGTCACCTCCACCTTGTTAGGCAGGACACTTGGTCACTTCAGCATCAGCCCGGAACTGGCACATGCTAGGTGCCCCAAGACTGACCCAAGGCTCAGGGGAGATCTGTCCAAGATTCCACAGAGCCCCAAGGTGGGTCAGAACCCAGCCCAGCCACAGGCCCACTTGCTAACTGACCTGTGTCTACTGTAGGTGATGGCCAAGTGGACTTTGAGGAGTTTGTGACCCTCCTGGGACCCAAGCTCTCCACCTCGGGAATCCCTGAGAAGTTCCATGGCACTGACTTTGACACCGTCTTCTGGAAGGTACACCCTGGCTGGGACTCAGGGACAGACACTGCACAGGGCTGTCCCGGGGCCAATGGGAGGTCCCCCCACCGTAAAGGGGGTGACCACTCTAGGCTTCTGTCCATTGGACGTCTCATCTCCCAGAGGGTCCGGGCTCTCTGGGGGAAGAGGCTGGTACTAGTTGCGGGCTCCAGGATGGAGTGGTGTCCAGCCCTCCAGAATCCAGAGCTGCTGGGCTGGCGTGACTACAGGCCGCTGGCTGGGGCTCAGCTGGTGGTGACCAGAACACTGTCTTCCCCCGCCCAAGTGCGACATGCAGAAGCTGACCGTGGACGAGCTGAAGCGGCTGCTCTACGACACCTTCTGTGAGCATCTGTCCATGAAGGACATTGAGAACATCATCATGACGGAGGAGGAGAGCCACCTGGGCACAGCTGAGGAGTGCCCCGTGGACGTGGAGAGTGAGTGACTGACCCCGGGACCCCTCAGGCAAGCCAACTGCTTGAGTGGGGGTGGTGGGGGGTGCAGGGGCTCAGAGAGGGGGGCTCGCTGGGGACCTCCTTGTTTGCCCCGTGCGCAGGGGCGCAGGTGGCTCCTGATGCCATCGCTTTGCCCTCCCTTCTGTCTCTCTGGTGCTCCCCGACCGGCGGCCACAGCCTGCTCCAACCAGCAGATCCGCCAGACATGTGTGCGCAAGAGTCTGATCTGCGCCTTCGCCATCGCCTTCATCATCAGCGTCATGCTCATCGCGGCCAACCAGGTGCTGCGCAGCGGCATGAAGTAGGCGCCGCCTGGGAGCCCGGTCTGGTGCACGCGGTGCATGGGGCCCACCCCACACCCACCGCCGCCTGCAGTCCTCTCCCTCAGCTGGCTCTCTGGGCCCCGACCCCGTGTACTTCAAGGCCTGGAGGTCCAGCGACCCCACCCCACCAGCCCCACAGGTCTTGCATGGAGCCGTGGCCGCCTGTGGAGGGCCTGGTGGTGGCTCTGAGGACGGCCCCCAGCCCCGCCTGCACCCTGCCTGTGCCCCATCCTGGCCTGTATGTAGCACTCACTCTTCCCACTGTCCAGGGGCTCCTGAGAAATTAAGGGGAAATTTGTACAGGAACCCCAGGGCCCAGTCTCTGCTGTGGTCCCTTGGGCAGGAGGGCTCACCCAGGGCCCACATAACCTGACTCTGGTCCCGGATGTCTTCCCAGGGCCATGGCAGGACAGCAGAACAGCTGCGTGTGAGGGTGGGGTCTCCTGGGCCCCTCCCTCTGACCCTCAGACGAAACTCAACCCTTTTCTTCCATACACCCGCTGAGGCCAGTCAGCTCACTATACAGATGAGGAGGCTGAGGCTCAGAAGACTCCCAGATCTGGCCTCAGTTCCCCCATCAGCAGGGATTTTCAGAAAGGGCAAAAGCTAACGGAGTGTGGGGCATCCGAGGGGCCCCAAAACACTCCCCACCCTCTTGCCTCTCCCAGCAGAGGCCCTGAAGGCCTCATCACCCTTTACCACCCTAGCACAGAATCTAGAATGCAACTTGGGTGGAAAGTGAGGTGGGGCCTGGAGGTTCCAAATCACCTCAGCAGCCTGTGTGATCTCCCCACCAGCCAGGGAACTCCTCCAGGGAATAACCTTGGGAGGGCCTCAGTGCCACCCCAAGGCAAGGGGCTGGTGCACCCAGGGCTATAGATGCCAGGAAGGTCAGCCAGGACACTTTTCCAAGCCCAGGACCTGTCTTCCCAGGGCTCTCACTTCTCTATGCCCTCCAAATTGGAGACCCAGCTCCATCCCTGCTCCAGTTGTGCCATCTCTTATTTGGCACCAGCTCAGCATGGGCAGATGTGGGGTCTGAGATGGCAAACATTGAGCCCCTCTCCCCAGATCTGGAGCCACTTCTCAGCTGGCCCAGCCAGGCTAGTCTCTGCTGGCCTCCAAGGGAGAAGCGCTTCTGGTCAACCTGCAGAGGCCCTCATACTACTCCAGCCCTGTAGGCCTCTGACCAGGGGCCTGAGCACGGAGCTGACGGTGCCAGGCAGGGGACAGTACAGCCAGACCACTGTGGTGACAGACTTTCTTTATAAAACACCCGAAAGGAAGTTTTCTTACTCATCTTCTCAAAATGTCCCACGAGGAAAGGAGAAGAAAGGTAAAGCCGTCTAATATGAAGCCAGGGCCAGACCTGATCAGGGGGACTCCTGGGCCCTGGCCTGGCCAGGTTGATAGCTTCAGGGGCTTGATGGGGCACAGCAGGAAGGGGATCTGGCCTCCCAGTATGAGTCCTCATCTGTATTGTGAGTGAAGTAAGCTGACCAGGTTGGGGTAGGGGTGGGGCAAATGAGGGGCTCAGCCCCACTGAACGCTGGTCTGCAGGGGCCACCCCCCAGGTGGGGGTGCCCTCAGGGATGGCGGCAGCTCCTGGACCGGTGGCCAGCCCACAGGGTACTGGAAGATGGTGGCTCTGATGGGTTCGGCCCTAGAATAAAGGAGGAAAAGGGCAGAGGATAAGAGTTGAGGCCCAGCTCAGGCCCATAACAGGGCGCCCCAGTTCACCCTCCCCACCACTTTGGCTGTGGGCAGGGTTGCTTGCCTGCACAAACTTTCTGGAAGGCAGAGCCTCAAAAAACATGTAGACCCTTTGAGCCAGCAACTTCCCCTCTAGGAACTGTTCAAGGAAATAGTGGGGTATGGACAGAAACTGAACTGCAAGCAATGGAAATAACCTAAGTGTCCACCTCTGGGGGACTGATTAAATACATATGCACGTCCACAGCAAAGAATGCTATGCAGCCTGCATAAGAAATAAGGCAGACTTGTATGCACTGATGAGGAAAGCTGTCACGATGTACTATGTGAGTAGGGAGAAAAAGCAGCTTATAAAATAATGTATATAGCATGATACTATTTTTGTTGAAAGATATATAACATATACAAATGCATAAAAAAGCTTGGAAGACAAAGCAAAATGTTAACAGTGGTTCTATCTGAGTGGCGCAATTATGGGTGGTTTTTTTTTTTTTTTACCTTTTTATACTTTTCAAAAGTTTTACAAGCACGCAAGCCTTTGAAATCGGAAAAAAAATATTATCTACAATTTTTTAAAGCCTCATTTCTCATGCTACTCACTCTCCTTCCCCTAAGGGCCACTGTTCCTAGAGCTCCCTCCTCAGAACCCAGGGCCTATGTGAAGAGCCCAGCCTGGGGCTACCCTGGCTTAAGAGAGCCAACTGAGGCCCAGTGGGGTGCAGAGCAGTCTCCCCCCACCAACTGCTCCACATTCTGATCCTTCTGAACTTGGCATCCCTCTCAGACTACAGAGTACTGGGACCTACCTGAAAGCTCACTTGTCTCCCTGGTGGAACAAGAGCTTTCAGAAGGTGGGAACTAGAAAGGAAGGGTGGGGTCTACCTGTTCCCCCAGTGCTCACAGCTGGCCCGGTGCAGGGAGGCCACCCAGTAAATGTTTGCTGAACGGCAGGCAGCAACAATGAGTGCTCTTCCTGATGAGGCACTACCATGGCCTAAAGAAACCTCAGGAATTCTCAGTGAGCCCCATTTTACTGATGAGGCAACTGATGTGCAGAGTCAGTTACATGACTGAGTGACACAGTGGTCTGAGGACAGGGGATGAGGGGCTGGAATGTAACCTATACATGGAGCCCAGACATAGCCCCCTCCCTATCACACCTCAAGCCCAGTTTTCAGTAGTGAGGCCCTGGCATCTCCTGGCAGGCCTAGGGGTCCAGTAGTCAGTCCTCTACAGATAAGGAAAGGCCAGGGCCCTTCGTGAGAAAGTTTGGAGAGACCATGGGCCTCTGAGGTGGAGGTGGGAGGTGAGGGTCAGAGGTCTAGGAGTCTGCTTCACTGTACTCACCGAGCCTGCCCCTTCTGGGTGTTGACCCACTGTACAGAGCCCATCTGAGAACTTTGGGCAAACCTAGGTGCAGTCTCTGGGGCCTCCTGTTGTGAGAGGACAGGGAAATCCCCGGCTCAGCTGCTTGCTGCCTGCTGGAAAGTGCAGGAAGCGACTCTTGGCATGATTTATGGCACTGGGGAGATTTCATAAACTCCACCAGCCGCAGAGAAGGGTGGAAGTGGGGGAGGTTCCACAGTTGCTGCAAGGGAGAGCCCCAGCTGTTAGCCAAGCCTTGGCTTCCTACAGGGTTGTGGAACTGCAAGTATCCCCCAGGGAGGACATAATCCTGGTGAGCCCCTTCCCTTGAGCCTTAAGAGGATGGGGCGGATCCCTCAGCAGCTGGGACCCAGCTACGGGGTCCAGGGCAAGCTCAGTGCCTCTGGGTAACCTGAGGGTTCCTGCCAGGAGAAGGGCACCCCCACGTGTGTTCACAGACACAGGCACATTCCCTAGACTCCAGGCACACAGGCCCCTGAGCCTCACAGCCCAGCTTCCAGCTCTGCACAGAGCAGACTGGGACACGGTGCACACACGGGCATGACCCTGCTCCGTGCACAAGGACAGTGCAGCCTGGTCCTGATCAGAAGGTAAACGTCATAGGGAGGCGCCTGGCCTGGAACAGTAGTGCTGGCCCAGAGAGGGGTGCAAAAGGGGAGATTAAGAGGGATAAAGTCACAATCTGAAGAACCAACAATGGAAGACAGGGACAAGCAGTGGCCCTGCCAGGGGATTAGTCTGTGTCTGAGGCCAGCCTCTCCCTCCCACGGCCGTCTGCTCCTGGCAGATCCCTCAGGGTCAGTCCACTGAGGGGGATGGCACTGTGTGCCAGAAGAGGATCTCCGATCCTCCATTTCCCCCCTTACAAGAAGGGTTCCCTGGCTCACCTCAAGGGCTCTGCCTGGGTCTCAGTGGCCCTAGGTGGGCTAAGCAGCCATCGGTACCCTGTACTGGGGGGGGTAGAGGGGTGGAGGGGAGGAAACACACATGGAGAAAGAAAGAGGCTCCCAAGGTCCCCCTAGACCAGTTCCCACATGGGGCCCAAGGCACTAGCCCTCAGAGAATTGTCCCCCAGGCCAGAGACACTGCTCCCCCAAATGCTGTTTCAAGCAGTCAGCATGCCCACGCCAGGCCCAGATGACAAGGCTGTGAGGGGGAGCCCCAGGAGGGATGGGGAAGGAGATGTCTTAGCTAAAGCTTGAAGAACGAGTCTGACTTTGCCAGGCAAGGAGATAGGGAGGTAGTTCTAGGTAGAGAAACAGCATGCACAAGGTGCCCCGAAATCAGAAACGCCCACCACATCTAAGAAGCTGCCAAGCGTCCAAGAGGACTGACACTGAGACCAGATGGAACAGGTGAGAAGGTGACCCCCACAGGCTGGAGAGGCAGCAGGGAAGTTCCCCCAGGCTGTAGAGGCCAGGCTCCTCTGAGGTAGAAGGGAAGTTGAAGCAGGGGAGGGAACTGTGGCCAGCACCTGTTTTAGAAGCTGGTTGGGGTTGTGTGGAGGACGAAATGGAGGAGCCGAGGGAAGTGGCCATCAGGAAGAGTCAGGGTGAATGAAGGTCTTTCACAGGGCTGCCTTGAGGTAGGAACTCTGAACTAAGCAAGGCAGCCCAGGGCTTGAATCCACACCCCATCCCACCCCCCCTTGCAGGCTGGGGGCCACAGATGCGGGGGCAGAGCCTAAGGCCCAGGAGGCCAGAGGAAACAGGTGTCATTGCTCTCATTTCTCACAGACCAGCCTACGGGGAAGAGGGCTGAGGAAGACCAAGGAGCAATGGCAAAAGCAGTAATAAATGGTTCCCTACTAATAACCCCTTTTGTTCAAGCGGACAGGTCTCCTTTTCTCTGAGAATAATTCATTTTGGCTCTGGGCCCTCAGGAGGCAGAGCAGGCATAGGAAACAAGTGGTTGCTGGGAAAGCAATTCCCCTGGAAGGGGCCAGCTTGGATGGTCAGAGGGTTAGGGGCCTGGGGAACAAGAACCTGGGATGGGCTCGTTCCAGGCTCAATACCACTGCCACCCTGGTGAGCTGTTGCCACTGCCACTTCAGACCTCTGGCTGGATAGGTCCTTGGCCAGACATGAACGTGAGACCAGTGGTGGCTCAGGGACTAGGCTTGGAGAGGGGCCTAGCTCTCCCCCAAGAGAGGTGCACAGAGGAGCAGGTGTGTGACCTGGGCAGTCATAACTTCATGGAGCTGCTGAGATTCCTTGGATGCAAAATGGGGCTGCCAATCCCCTTATATGCCCAAGTCTGAGTGCCAGGCACACCCGAGAACCAAATATCTGATTATCATGCAGTCACTACCTCTACCTCTACCGGAAGCTCTGGGCCCATCATTCAGCTTCCGTTTCCCCATCTCATTCCCTAGTCCTCAAAGTCTCGTGGTCATGGGTGCCTTGCATTGGAGGATGCTGGGACACATCTATCTGCACCCAGACAAGGACTTCAGAGTACCCCCCACATGCTCACTCCAGCTCAGCTACAGGGTGTCCCTGAGCCCTTGTCACAAGACAAGGGCTCACAAGATAAGGGCTCAGCCCTCTCCCCCACAGGCCGGTCTTGTGACAAAGAGGTGCCCAGGCATGTGGTGCTCACTCCAGTGAGCCCTGAATCAGCACAGAAGGGTGAGCAGTGAGGGAAGGTGGCTAGTGAGAGTGGCGTGCAGCTGGGATCTCCAAGGAACATGCTGGGGTGAAGCAGGGGAGTGAGGAAGCCCCCAGAACCCTCTGGGTAGCTTCCAACAGTCAGCCCTCTGGCGCAAGTCTGAAGGAGCCTGGGGTGCAGAACATGCATCCCTGGATGATGGCCAGTCCCCAGGGGGCTGCCCACATTACCAAAATCACAAACTTTAGACAGGACCAGGAGGAAAGGCATCACATTCTAATATTGGAGTCATGTCTGCACCATATATATATATATATATATATATATATATATATATATATATATATATTTTTTTTTAGAGGCATGTTTTTTATTTATTTATTTATTTATTTATTTATTTATTTATTTGCTTGTTTTGTTTTTTATACAAGCACTGGGTACAGTCAGAAGCACGGGAGGGTGAGAGAATTCACCAGAGCCAGAGCGGGGAGCAGAGCAGGCAGAAGGACCGAAGTACACTGCTGAGGGGAGCAGCGGGCGGCAGGAGAGGTCTGCACACCATGTGGGACCCTCCTCCGGTGGCCGGGGAGCAGCCGGGGATCGAACTGGCGCCGCAGAGGCCGCAGGCAGCTTCGCAACCCAGCGCTCAACCGCTGCGCCACCGGGGAGGCCCTGCACCATATATTTTTAAGGTGGGGGAACAAAAATGGCACAGATTTAAAACAGAGGTAAAAATTAAAAAAAAAAAAAAAAAGCTTATGAAGCTCCTACATGGGGGCACAGAGAAGGCAGGAAGCTTGGAATGGCAGAGCCAAGAGTCCCAAGGGAAGGCCTCATCGCATAGACTATACAACCAGCCTCCCATGACTCAGGCGAGGTAGCTGGTCCATGAGACCACGCCACAGAGATCATGAGGTCTGAAGCACCATTGTGAGAAGAAAGTGAGGTGGCCCAAGATGGGGCCCCAAAGTCAGTCTTGAGCACATCTACTAGTCCTTTTTCCTCCCCCTTCTTTCCATACCTGGTGGAAGAGCCCAGGAGCCCTCGCTTCGGTCTTGGCTGTGACCTTGAAGAGGAGAGCCTGGGATGGCATGCAGCATACACCAAAGCGTCCCTGACCCGGGGTGCTCCCCATATAAGAGTGAAGGTATTGAGTGGTATTGCACCCTGTCCATTCCTGAGTCTCCTAAATATTGGTCCCAGATAGTGATCCCTTCCTGAGGGTGGCAATGAGCCTCACACTTCCTGCAGCTCCGGCTCTGCTAGCCACGTGCCCTCGGCAAGACACTGGGCCCCTTATGAGCATCACTGCTCCTTCTTGCAGGGTCAGTTCACCATGCCTACTGGCTGGCACCTAGGGAGCACAGTCACCAGTCAGGCCTCTCCTTCTGGCAATGAACTTGGTGATGTGGAGTCAAGTCAGCTCAGCCACCCCTTCAGCCAGTACAGAGTCCAACAAGGGAGGAGCCACCAAGGGAAGGGATGAAATCCAGGGACAGGTACCTTCAAATGCGTATCTCTCAACCTTTGGCCACCGTGGGGACCCCAGAGCCCCCAACATGGTCCCTCCTTTGGGAAGCTCTATAGGGGGGTCTGTAACTAGTTATTGGAATGGCATGGGAAGAGGGCACCGTGGGCCTATACCTGTTGCTTGGGGCCGAGCTCAGTCGCTTGGCTCTCTTCTCCAGCCAGTCCTCCAGATGGCCCTCAGGGAACTCAGCAATGTCCAATGGCCACTCCCTAGCCCGTCTCTCCTCTGTGGGGAGAAGGAGACAGAGCTAGGTGAGGGGTATATTCATACCCACCTGAACCCCACTTTCCCACAGAACAGCAGAACCTTCCAGAGGGGGTGTCTCAGAGCCTTTGGACTGTCCCCAGCATGCCACCACCTCCCCAGGTCTGGGTCTCACTCTTTTGCCCCTCAAATGAAGATGAAACACTCGCTGTCTCCCAAGCTTTCTGGAGCTGTGAACAGGATGGTGTGTGGAGAGCCTGGCTCTGTGGGAGACCCCAGAGAGGCCACCCCAGAGTCATGGGCCAAACTTAGGATCAGGGAGGCAGCACGGGGGGCAGAACAGGGCTCTGCCAAGATCTCTGAGCTGGGGCAGGAAAAGGAGCCTCAGCTTTCCTGGTTTTTCTTCTCATAAAATATCCTACAAAAACCTTTGCTCGGTGAGTTAGAACAAAGCAGTAGTTGGAATTCAAACAAGCTGGATGTGAGAGTGTGACGGGGTCAGAGTCTCTGGGAGACCTGGGATGGGGCCTGGGGTCAGAGGAGAACAATAGCACTCGTGGGCCAAAGTGGACTCCGATCAGGCCCTGAGCTGGCACTGCACCAGCGTCATCTCTTTTCATCTTCCCAAGCAGTCTCGCTCAATAGGTCAGGATAATTCCTCCAAGAGGTTAAACCATGTGTTAAGGTCATAGGGCTGTGGCAAAGTCAGGACTTTTAAACTGCCAACTGGGAGCAGAGGTGTGGGTTTCTCCCACCCCTGCCTCACCAGATATCACCTCTAGTTCCAGACCCCTGGTCTGTGCTTTCCCTGTCATGGGCCAACTGTTCCCCGAGAACCCATGGCCAATGAGGAAGCAGAAATACAGCTGCTGCCGGCACTTGCTGGCCTGGCCTATGGGGCCTCATTTCTACCCTGGGAAGCTCCTGAAAACCCTGTGTTTTTGCCAGGCCTGCAACTAACTGACACCAGCTCTTTGGGGCAGGGTCCCGCTCTGAGGGGCTGACTGGTCAGAGGGGAGCAAGGCCCAAGGGGTTGAGAGCAAAGGCCAGGCTGTTGCAGACACTCACTGGCTGCCCTCAGGCCACCCAGACAGAGGGAGAGTGAGCAGCCCCCTGGGAGACTCAAAGCTGATTTCTAACTTGCTGGGTACTCACCTGAGGCCCTCAACACTCAGCCTGAGTGCTAGCCTCAGTTTCTCCATCAGTTCGATGACAGGATGAATGAGAAAATCTATAGAGACCATCTGAGCCAGAGCTTTCCTGGTCTCTAGAGAAGTGAATTTCTCAAAGTCAGACATGCCAGTTTCCAGGGGAAGCTAAACTTGCTCTTTCCTGGAATCACCAAATGGTAGGAATCCTGAGGGCAGAGAAGGTGCTCTCCTCGTCACCTTGTTCTATCAGGTGCCAAGCAGGGGCTTGATCTATGTCACCTGATGGCGGGATGCCAAGCCAGCAGCATGGCCATGTGGAGCTGCAATGAACCCTCAGGACTCCCCGGCAGGAAGCCACACGTGTCACTCTAAACCCAGCAGGGGACACAGAGGGGAGCTCCCCTGTTCCTTCTCCATTCATGCCTGGGCGGTTTGGAGGCAATTCCTGATACCACCCCCATCCTCTTGGCAGCCTCCAGCCTATCCCACACGGTGGCCACAAGCCGGAGCTGAGGAGGCCTAGGGCAGTTTCACCAGGTTCAGACCCTGCACCCTCCCCAGCAACCCATGCCACTCCCCACAGCGGACTCCCCTCCTAAACATACCCTCCACCTGGATACTTAGCTCCTGTAGGTCTCGCTCGGACATGTGGGAAAATCTGCAGTTGGAGCCAAAGTCACACTGACCTGCAACGCGAAGACCAAATTAGTCACTGTTCAGGAAGGGCTCCCACTTAGGGCTGAGAGGCACTGTGATGAGGGGTCATGGGAGCTTGAGGGGCAGAGCTTTAGGGCCTAAGGAGGAGCATTCCAATCCTGAAGAAACACTTGGATTCTCTCTGGCTCTGCTCACACAAGCAGCTGGAGCAACCTGTCTGGTCTATCATGCCCTGCCCAACACTTCCCTGGCCAGGGATCAGTACCACTGAAGCCTTTCTAGATTGGGCTGAACAAGTCTCTGCAGGTTTCTCTTGTCACCAAACTCAAACCCCCAGTCCCTAGTTCCCAACCCCAACAAACAACATATGAGCTCCTGAAAAGATTGTGCTTCCTCTCTAGTTCTGGCCATTGCACATGCCCTGCCTTCTGCCTGGCACCCTACCTGCCGTCTGGCTTACTGGAGCAGCTGGACTTCTCCCCAGAGAGGCTTTCAAGGCAGCTTTGTCTGGGGGGTGCCAAAGTCCAGGGGGACTTTCCAAATCTTAACTAAGGAAACTAAAATGTGTCTCAAAATAACAGGAGAATAAGGTGTCCTAAATCAGCATAACCTACCAGTGTCTTATTCACGAAGCAAGGTTTGTAGGGTTGCCCCTGTCTGCAGGCATGGTGTCCATCTCAGGGGCAGCATCATCTCCTGAGGGAGTGTGTCCTTTCACTCAACTTCCCTAGGCCAACAGCAGTACCTTTCTTCAGTGCTACACTCCCTTATAGAACATGTTAATTTTCACGGTTTTCTTCTTTGCCTTAGCTCCTAGGAAGCTCAGGGTCAAACCCTTAGAGCATACAAGATCTCAAGGCAAGCATGGAGGAGACAGAATATTCTGGCTTTGCCTTATTTTCCTTACCCTGCCCTTATTTTCATCTTTGGTTCCTTCATTTACTGAGATCTAAATATCCTCGAACTATGTTCACTAGCTGAGTACCGAGCAATCAAATTGACCTAGCGTCCTTGGTTCTGATTCTGAACCTCAGCATCATCAGACCTGTTACATCTCCAGCCCTACCTCCTGGAAGGAGATGCAGGGGAGCTTGGGCTCCCAGCCTAACTTAATTGACCAGTGTATTATACAATAAATGTCTCCTGGATTTTCCTGCAATCTCCCAGTGCTTGCCTGTCTTGGGTGAGCAGATACAAATCACAATCTAGCTCAAAGAGCTGAGGACCAGGCCCTTAGAAAGATCTAAGCCACAACCCCTGGGAAGGACCCAACTGAACAGTTGGCTGATGCACCAGAGGTCCAAGCAGGTCACACTGGGCACTCTGGCCCCCAGGGGTACTTGAATTGCACGGAGCACTTTACCTGTCAGTAGAAACTTCCTGCAGGGCCGCTTGTTTTGCTCATCCAGCAAGATGGCAGCTGCATCTGTGAAAGGAGAGAGGGGCCAGGTTCAGACTTCTGTTGCACACGGGCACCTCCTATCACTAGGCTCAGTTGTGAGTTCAGCAAAGAGCTCCCCATGCAAGGAGGCGTGAGAAGGACAGCCACAGGCGAGGATGTTGGGCAGAGGGTTCTCAGCTTCAGGTGACTTCAGCCCCTCCCACTCCACTCAGACCCAGCTAATGGCAAGAACCAGGATTTAGGTCACTAGTTCTTGAATTTGGTATCACAGTTCTCGTGCTGTCTTTGCAGCTGGCGGGGAATCTATAATTACTTCAAAATTAAAAAGCGACAAGAAGGGCCCTGGGGGCTAGGGAGCCCACCGTAAGCCCCAGGGCCCAAACACCATTCTGCTGTCAAGCCTGCCATCACTGCTCTCAGCTCCCTCCTCACATCAGGTGCAGGTGCTCAGAACTGAGCCAGGACTTCATGGCAAACCTTCTGGATATGACCTTTAACTTCAATTTCCTCTGATTTTTCCTATCTCTGTTTTCACCATATATTTATGGTTTAAATGTGTATGTTCATTGGTAAAGAACCAGTCAAAATCTGTAGGTGAGTAAGAAATGTCAGGAAGGAGCCCTGACTCAGAGGCCCTGATGTTGCCCGGGGGAAGGGGCGCGGCCTGGACTGGACACTTGCCTCATTTATCCACTGCTTTCTCCAGTGGCCTGGGGTAAAGGAAAGCCTCTGGGCTTTGGAGTCCAGGCACACATGGACTCCATGGCCATGAGCAAGCTGCTTCATCTCTCCAAGCCTCAGTTTCCCCATATGTACAGTGAGAGGAAAATTCCCAACCTGGACTGCTGTGAAAATTTAATAAGATAATGAATGGAAAGCACTTGGCAGAGAAGGCTGGTGGTTCTCAACTCTTGTGGCACACTAAAAGTGCCAGGAAAGTAACAATGAAGTCACCTTGGGCTGGGAGAAGCCTCAGCCTCACATAACCTGCGTGACACTAACGTGCACCCAGAGGCGAGAACCTCCATGCTCAACAAGCAGTAGCAATTCTAATTTTATTTCCTCCTCACAAATCCACTGTATGGTGCTGACACCCCCATTTCATAGTAGGGAAAGTGGGGGTCCAGAAAGGGAAATGACCTGTCCAAGGGCAGTGAGGAAGTGGCAGTGCCAAGTTTGAATCCTGGAGTATGAGTCTAAAGGCCCTGCCTTTTTCCCAAGCCCTGCCTTTTTCTCCTGGTGTCTGGGTGAGTGTCTGACACCAATGGGGGCTCCTCCTTCCCCAGAGCAGGGATGCTGGTGACTGAGGCCCAGCTACTGGGGTCAGGACTCACTCCAGGGGTGGCCTGGAGGAGCATGGGGGTGCCACCAGCAGAGGGGTCCATCTGTCTGGACTGGTCATACTCAGCCTGCACAGCTGATGCCATAGGCCTTCCAGGGGAGCTGGGCTGGTGGAGGGAGTATGGATGCTGCCCTGAGGGTAGACAGCTGAGGCTAGCGGAGGGCTGAGTTTGAGTCCAAGACAAGGGACTCTGGCTGTGCACTCAGTATGAGAGGAGTTCCAGGCTGCTCAGAATCTAGACAGTGGTTCTGAACCCATGAGAATCACTGGCTAACTTTTAAAGTACTTGGCTGGTGGAGCCCACCTTTCTCCTTAATTCATCTGTGGGAGAGAGCATGAGAACTGTTTAAAAAGCTCCTCAGTGACTCTGAAGTGAGACACCCTACTCCAAGCGTAGGCCCTGCAGAAAGAACCCTGTGCTCCTCTACTGGGTATGCAAGGCTCCTCGTCATATGACCCTATTGGTCCTTCTTGCTTCATCTCTCAAAATTAACAGCTGCCCTGGTGCTCCGTGTCTATTTGCTCATTCATTTGGACATTCATCTAACAAACATTTACTGAGCACGTCCTGTGTACCAGGCACCATGCCAGAATGAGGATTTAGTGAAAGTCAGACCTGGTCCTTCCTTTCAGTCAAACAGTCACACTAATCCATTCAGATATAAATGGAGTAAACAGCTAGCATACAGTCAAATGACGGTGCCCAGCCCGGCAATCAGGGAGGGCATCCAGGAGAACTTGATGCTTGAGTTGAGTTCTGAGATGGGAGGACCAGGGTGGGGGTAGGGGAGAGCGCAGGAAGGGCTTGCCATCATGGGGAGCAGTACCTGTAGTGGCAGGTATGGCTGGACTCAAAGGGAGAGATCAGTAGAGCATGGAGGCCATGGATGTCAAGGGTTCTGCCCCGAACCTACTGTTATAGCTGGGTGCAAGGTCACTTAGGAGAGGGGCCTGGTTTTATTCACTTTTATGTCTTCAGAGTCTGTCTGAGAGCCAAGGACATACTAAGTGTTCACAGAGCACTGGCTGAACGAATGAGATCCAGGGCCTGAGGTCAATCCTTTTGTGAACCCATAGGTACTATTCCTACTTACTAAACCCTTAACTGTAACTGTAAGACATATAGTTTTTAAGAGATTAATGAGCCCCTGTCACATCCTGGGAGGTGGGCACTGTTGCTATGGCTGTTTCACCCATGACAAAATTAGGGTCACACTGTTCTTAGTGACACCTTGGGACTAACATCCAGGCAACCAAGCTCAGGGTTGATCATGGTAGACAGATCATCAGCCCTTCTGAGGGCTAAGGACTTGTCCAAAGACATGAAGCTGGGAGCAGAGCAGTGCTAAGTTCTAGCTCAGGCCAGGGAGCCCCTGTGCTGCGTGGCTGTGTAGATGAGCTAGGGCCTGAGGAAGCCTTTAAGGAAGTAGAAAGAGCTCTTATGTCAGCTTGGGGCTTCCAAGTGAGCTGATCCACTTCTTTGGATTTCAGTCACCACCTTAAGTGGGGATCTCTGACCTAGCCAGCCTCCGTCACAGAGTTCCAAGCACTGGACATGGCTGGGGCTGTGAGAGGACCCTGAGAATGCAGGACCCCCAAGAAGGGGCTCATGGTGCCCACTGCTAGCTATCTCTCCTTTTCTATAGCCCTCTGCTGATTAGTCTGGACCAGAGACCCAGCTACTCTTGCTTGAAAATCAAGGATTAGGAGCAAACACCAAGGTGATCCTGAGGCCCAGTTCCATGCCTGACACCAGAGTCAGAGGCCTTGTAGGCACCCAGGAGACCCTCTGCTAATGAACCCCTCTCTACTCCCACTCATGCCTGCTCAGTGGCCTGACCATTCTTTCTTACCCAAGCCTCGGATTCTTCATGTGAAATGGGGGGAATCTGAGAGAGCTTTAAAAATACCATGCCTAGAGAATCCATGCCAAACCTACCTCTGGGGATAGAGTCAGGGAATCAGTTTTTTATTTAAAGGTCTCCAGGTGATTCTAATTCCAAGGGCTGAGACACACGGCCTTAGAGAATTACTGAGAAAAGCAGATACAAACCATGGAAGGCACCTGGCATGCAGCAGGCAATCAATAAATGCTCACTGCCTTCGTGTGAATTCTGAGTCTCAGAAGAGGGAACAGTTTCCTCTTCTCCTTCCTTCTTGGCTGCTGGGACTCAGCCCTTCCCTTTCCTTTACTTTCCTTCCTGGATGTGGGCCCTGTCCCCAGAATCCTGTTCCCCAACTCATGGAGCATTGGTTCCCACCCTGCTCCTGCCCCACTGCCAGCCTCCTTCTCCCTTTCAGAGGCTCCTGGCTGGCTGGCCACTTCCGCCTGCACCTCTTTGGCTGATGCTATTGTCGAGGATGGCAGGGCAGCTGCTCCCCTCTAGAGAGCGCTCCCGGATGCCATGCCCTGTGCTAGGTATTTGCACCCTTAGCTCATTCCCCTAGTCACACCGGCTCAAGCCTTTCCTAGAAGAGCCCTCCCTCCGGCAGCTCAGTTATTCAGCCAGCCAGCCAGTCATTCAGCAGCCAATTATTGCACCCCACCGCTCACGGGGCAGTCAGTCATCACTGTCAAATGTAGCTCTGGTCATGCTGGCTGCTGCCTAAAGCCTTTCAAAGGCTGCCCTCTGCCCTTGGGATAACCCAGGCCCCATACTGCAGCCTCCCCAGGCCCTCCTGATCTGGTCCCTCTCCTCTCTCCAGCTCCCGTCCCTACCATCTTCCTCTCCCACTGTGTCCAGTCGCACCTTCTCCCTTTGGCTCCCAGAACACCATGCTTGCTTATGCTGCCTGCCTGCCTCTGAATGCCCTTTGCCCAGAATGGTATAGCTGGCTTTTTCCTGTCTTTCAGCTGTTGGCTCAAATATCACCTCCTCAGATAGGCCCTCTTCCTGGCTACAGTATCCCCAGGGCCTGGAACATCACCTGGAAAAAGGAGCCCTGGTCAAGATTTCTGGGGAAAGGAGCCTGCCGGTCTGAGGACCCATCTACCCTATAGGCCAGGAGCCCAGGCTCCTTTCACTCTTCAAAGAGCCAAGACTGGACTGTCACTGGCCCGCAGTGCTTCCTGGTGTAACGATAAGAAAGATGGGAGAGCAGAATTCTACCAGCCTGGCCAGCAGACACCTACCTCGGAACATGTCGTACCAGACCTTCTTGGCTTTGAGGTGCTGCAGTCCATTCAAGTGCTTCTTGCGGTTATGGAGGTTGTCCTGGAAGGAGCGATCACAGTAGTCGCAGAAGTAACGCTTCCCCATTACACCTATCCCAGGTGCTGCGGCTGCCTGAGAAGTCACAAAACACTCAGAGAGTGGAGGAAACTCCCTCCCCACAAACCTACAGCACACCTCCCCAACACTAGCACACAGACCAGGCCTGTGCTGTGCAAGGAAATTTCTATTATTTGCACCACCTCTTTACACCTCACGACAGAGCAGAAGAATGTGGGCTGATGATTATGGCCTAAGATGCCGTATTCTAGAGGGATCTTTTCACAGACTACTCAGGCCAGTTAATGTGAACCATAGCAGTTGAGGCCCAGGAATCAGCATTTTTTTTAAACTTCCCCAATAAATACACAAGTGTAGCCAAGCTGGAGAGCCAAAACCTTATATCCCCTGGCCAGCCCCCTCTCAACCCCCCCCCACCCCCACCAGCACCACCTCTGATCTCTTTATTCTCTCAATGCTGGCCACACAGGCTTCCTCTGCTCCTCACACATGCCAAGCACACACCCACCTCCTGGTGTTGGCACCTGCTGTTCCCTCTGTCTGAATGCCCCTCCTCACGTAGCTGCCACACTTTGTTCACTGGACTCCTGCAATCTGCCCAAACACCGCCTTCTTGGTAATCTAGTGTGACCACTTTGTTTAGATTGCAGAAACCTCCCCTTAGCTTTCTCCATTCCCCGCTTCATTTTGATCACCCTTCAAAATAATAAGTAAGCTATTCGTCATGTTTACAGTCTTTTCCCCCCAATAGGAATATAAATCAATGTGGGCTGAGATATTTTTGTTTTGTTTATTTCCAAAGCCCCAGCACCAAAAGTGGTACATGCTATAGAGAATACAACCAATTATTTGTTGACTAAAGGAATTAATTTCCTTAAAGGAATTAATTTCCATCTTCCTTATGGGACAGCTGAGGTTCAGAGAGACGAAATGACTTGCCCAAGCTCACATAGTTGGCAAACAGAAGGCAAACCCAGGTATCCTAAAAACCTGCCTCTGGCAGAGTCCCCTCTTCCACTGTCAGTTCAAAGCTTAGAGAAGACAGGGGCCTCAGGCAGAATTGCAAACAATTAACCTCCTAGGTGACAGGTATCCCCATTCCCCAATCACTGAGAGAAATAATAAGTTTCAGGGTCTTAAGACCCCTCAACCATGGTGGGCACAACAGCCACTCCTGATCATGGTCAGCAAGTGGGTCCCCTAATTTGATGCCATAAGACCAGGGGAGAGTTGGGGCCATCATCTGGGACCTGCATTAAGCCTAAGCCAGCCCCTCACCTTTTAGGTCCTGTAGTCTGACCCTCATTTCACAGAGCACCTTCCAGAGAAAGAAGGAAAGTGACTTCCCTAAGGTCTCTAAGTAGCAGCCCAGGCTATGAGCAAAAGCACCAGACTCCCAAGATCTGGCAAACAAAGATAAAGCAGGGACCTGACGCACAGGGCAGACAGACGGGGGAATGCATCTTGGGAAGAAGACATTGAGGAGAGACACAGAGACAAACAAGCTCCTGGACAGTTCAGGCAGCCACACAAGCTGATGGAGAAAGCTGCTCCTGCAGCAGACAGGGACAGCAGCCATTAAGTCAAGGGCTGTAATGGGATCAGGAACAGACAGTCATTCAAAATGAAAACGAATAAAACCTCTCTTCTCCCATTACTGCTGAGAAACTGCATCCCAGACACACGGACTTGATAAATTAAATTTGGCAGCTCTAATACACCCCGTCTTGCCAATAAACTTATAGGAATTGGATTGAAATTGTAAGAGATGAACGTTTAACGGCCGAGTGCTTAACCAAGCCATCACGAAGCCTGAAGCTCTGAGGAGCTGCTGGCTCTGGAGAGTAATGAGGAGGGGAGAGGCAGAAGGAAAGGTGTCCCTCTGGGAGACTGAGATGGAATAGTGTCTCTGCGGCAGATTTTGCTGGACAAAATCACACAGGGCACCAAGAAGCCAGCTCTATGTGACCTTGGACAAGAAACTTCTCCCTACGCCTCTACTTGCACTATGGGCACATGAGGCTGTGGGTCTGATCGGTTGCCTGGTTGCCTGGGAAGTGGTACACAGAAGTTTGCTGATCCAAATGGGTTATTATTTTTTTTTTTTTGATTTTACTATTCGTGATTCTTTTTTTTTTAATTTTTTTTTAAGATTTATTTATTTATTTATTTATTTATACAAGCACTGGGTAGACTCAGAAGCGCGGGAGGGTGAGAGAACTCACCAGAGCCAGAGCAGAGAACAGAACAGGCAGACCGATGAAGAAGTACACTGCTGAGGGGAGCAGTGGGTGGCAGGAGAGGTCTGCGCACCATGCGGGACCCTTGCCCAGCCGCCGGGGATCGAACCAGCGCTGCAGAGGCTGCGGGCAGCCCCACAGCCCAACGCCCAACCACTGCACCACCGGGGAGGCCCCAAATGGGTTATTAATAAAAGAGTGACAGCTATTAAATGACTATATCCAGCATTGTGCATAGACTCAATAAATGCTACCCAGCATTTCATTTATTGAGCACCTACTAGGTGCCAGCACCAGGCCAGATGCTTTATACTCATTTAAAACTCAGGTTAACCTGTAAGGTAGAAGTTATCACATCTTTTCAAATGAGGGCATGGAGGCTCCCAAAGTGAAATGATTTTGCCAAGGTTAAGTTGCAGAAAGAATCTCAGCTGGGTTTAGAATCCAGGCAGGATGGTGCTAGAAACCATACTTTTGATCACTTATAAAAGTCTCCTCCCAGCAAATGATACTGATGACAGTTTTCCCAAAACCATGAGAGGTATGAACAATCCCATTTGGAAGGAAGAAACGGAACTCAAAGAGATGGTGAGAGGTGCCCCCAGTACAGATCCAATAAGGGCAGAGCGTCTGAAAGAATGCCTCCCACCAGCACCCCAGGAAATCAAAACCTGCCTAGCAATGCTATGATCCAAAAGATGAGGCCCCTGGTTTCATGTGTGTAGGGGGGCAGGGAGGTAGAGAAAGACAGAGACTGAGAGACAGAGAAAGAGAATAAGATACACACACACCCCATGGAGGGCAAAAAGCATCACTTGAGAGCCGCAGTGGCTGTGCCACCCACCCATGTCTTCCTCTGCCACGTCCCTCATCTGGGGGACTGCTCAGTTGTTCAGGATGGGTCAATGGGACCCTGAGTTCTAGTCCACCTCTGCTAGGTGAGACTGTGTCACTTGCACTCTCTGGGCCTCAGTTTTCACATGTAAAGCAGCCCAGACTAGGAGATCTCTAATGGCCTTTCCGCAGTCCATGTTATATCCAGGTGTCACTGCTTCCTAACTATATGACTCTTGGCAATTAACTTCCGGTCTTCGTTTCCTGCCATGAAAATTAGGATAATAAGAGTACCATACACATACTTCATTTAGATTCACAGGAAGCCACAAGACATGTTGGCTGTCATCACTGTCATTATTATTGACCTCCAAAAAGTCCCTATGTCAGGAAACTAAAGCTCAGAACAAGGAATAGGATGTCGGTGTTTAAGTCAGCTAGTCTGTATAGCAGATGAGGGAGGTGAGTTGCCCAAAGCACACAGCACAAGGCAGAGGTGGAAGTGGATCCTAGGCCCACAGTGAACCCAGACCCCTTTCCTGTGCAGCTGCTCTGCACAGCGCCCCCACTGCCCGTGGTGGTGGCAGGGCGGCACATTGGCTCTGGGTGACTGCATTTCCCACCTACCTCACAGGCCTGTCCCCACGGAGGCAGAAGGCCCTTTGCTGGGCAGGAGCTGACCTTCCACAAGATGACCTCCCCAGGTATCACCCCTGTGTGAACCTCTAGGGCTCCAGTGCCTTGGCACTGATGAGACAAAAGCACAGCTGCAGTATCCTCCAGACAGGTACAGCACGCTGCCAGATACATAACTTGGCAAGCAGTGTGTACTTTACTCTAACTCACCCCTCAGCCTGGTGTCCTTGCACCAGACACAACCTGTACCACTGCACTTGGCAGCCCTGAGTGGGAGGTCAGTGAAGGGGGGCGGGGTGGGGCCAGCAGGACGTCCCTGATGGCGCTCACACACCAGCGTGGGGTGCTGACTAAGCTGGCCCTCTCTGCGGTGATTCATCCTTGTCCTCGGAGGCTGGCATGCTCCGCAGCATGTGAGCAAGGCCCTGTCCGGAACACAGAACAATCCAGCCCTTCTCCCTTGCAGAGAACACAGGTGGTGCCACCCTCCCTGTCCCAGGGACCAGGTCCAAATTTGCAATAGCTTCTGCCAATGCTCTGGCACTTTGCCAGGTGACAGAGTGGTTCCTCATGACCAAGGGGCAGTGGACAACCCTCTGGGCCACCCGGGTCCAGGTTGGAGTCTCAGCGTTACCACTTATCAGCTGGCTGACCTCTGGAGAGTTATTTCATCTCTGAACCTAGCTACAAAACAGGGACCCGGGCCTGCCCTGGTGGCGCAGGCGGTTGAGTGCCGCTCTGTGAAGCTGCCCGCAGCCTCTGAAGCATGGGTTCGATCCCGGCTGGCCGGCGAGGGTCCCACATGGCGCGGCAGACCTCTCCTGTCTTGCCCGCTGCTCCCCTCAGCAGTGTACTTCATCAGTCTCCCTGTTCTGTTCCCCGCTCTGTCTCTGATGAATCCTCCCACCCTCCCGTGCATTTGGCCTGTACCCTGGTTCTTGTATAAATAAAAAAACAAACAAATAAATAAATACACCTTTAGGGGGGAAAAAAAAAACAAAAAAAAAATACAAAACAGGGACCCCCTGCAGTGGATTCACCAAGGTAGTGATTAAGTTAAATAGTTTAGTAGTTAGGATGCCTAGCATGCAGTTAGTGCTCAAAGAAGGGAGGTTGTTACTGCCAACATCACTATTACCCAGGAGGCCCCCCTCCTTGCTCACCCCATAGGCACACCCTGATCACCTGATTTTAAATTGCAGCCAAAGTGGCAGCTGCAGACACTTCGTCCCCTGACAACAAGCTGTTTCCACAACTCGGTGCACCTTCTCACACAGATTTACTGTCACGTGAGCCTGTTTCCCCCAGAATGCAGGCTCCACGAAAGCAGAGTTCTGTTGGTCC